GGTCAGAATTAAACTTTATTTTTCCCACTGAGGTCAATCAAAGAGCCATCTACATCAGGTAAGATATTGTCTGTCCAGAAGCTTTCTATAGAACCCCATTCCATAACATCTGAACAACAATAAACCAGGTAGGAGCAAAGGCTTACTTTGGCCAGGATACACTTTGTTTAATGATCTACTGATTCATGTAACTCTTTGGATAATTGGTACAATACCTCATCCCCCAATCTCAGAACAGAGGTACTCTAAAGAGTGATGACAGAAATGTCTCCAAATCTCTGCTGTGTGGATGTTTTTTCCAAGTGAAAATTTGGAGCGGTCCAGCAGCCACTTGTAATGTTTGCAATTTAAGCATTTAATGAGGCAAAGACTCGTTCAATAGCATCGCTTTCATTAGACGTGATGTTTTAACGCATGGCTGAATACATTGAGTTCACTTTAACTCTGGCTTAGGTTCTGCCAAAATACCACACAGAATCCAGCTTTCAGTATAAACGAACCATCTCTTTCCCTTGAACCACCAAATCACAACCTACCAGTCCATTAACACTGAATGAACGCTTTAAAGAAAACAGATTTGTTTCTGTGAGGCCCAAGGCAGAAAAGATTAAAGCATAGCTGATTTAATTCATTCTGAGGCGGAGAATATGATTTCTCTGGTGCTGTATTATTTTCATTTTTTTGTAGTCTCAATAATGTAGGGCATTGTAAAACTTTGCATCCGACACACATACTACCCAATTAATTTGTTTAGACGTTGCTGTTACTGGCTTTAATACAGACATTTGGAATTCAGATATGTGCTATAACTATGCGCCATGCTGTGAAAAAACTGGATTTATCATTTGATCAAAACTAATCTCCAGCAGTTCAATAGGCCTCATGCAACAGAGCATCTAAAGCAGCCAATCTGTGAGACGAGCTGCGTGTCTTTCTGTCACGATGATGCAAGAGAAAGAAAAAGAACAATAGATAGGACTCATCTTCCAGTTCTGCATCGCAGACACAGAAATAACTAGAGAAACTGCATTTCCTGGGAAAATGCAGTGTGAAGGCTTATTGCAGAAGAACTTGCTAAAAAATACAGCTGAAATTTAGCTGAAATGGAATAACAAGCCCAAATTAGCAGAAGAAAGCACAAGGAACACATATTTGTTGAATTAGGTTTAAATAAGCAGAAATTAGCACAAAAATTTGGAAATTTGCAACAAAAAAAAAAGCTGAAATGAGCAAAAAACAACGCTAAAAAGTAGCTGAAAAGGCAGAAAGAAGAAACTACCCTAAGGAAGTGGAAAGAGCTGAAATGAGCTAGAAAATGTGGAATTAGCTGGAAAAGCTAAAATTAGCATAAAAAAGCTAAATAGTAGCTGAAATAATTGAAACTAGTTGAAAGGAGCATAACAAGCTGAACTTAAGAGAAAAAAAGGTCATTAAGCTGAAAGTAGCAGAAATTACCACTAAAAACTTGAATTTATCTGAAAACAGTTGAAATGAGCTAAATAGGTAGCTGAAAAGGTAGAACAAGCTTAAATAAGCATAAGAAAGCAGAATGAACACATTTGCCCAATTAGGCTGAAAGAAGCAAAAATTAGCACAAAAAAGTGAAAAGAGTTTAAATGAGTGGGGAAAAAATGTGGAATTAGCTAAAAAGGCTTAAATTAACAAGCAGTTGTATAGTAGCTGAAATAGTAGAAAAAGCTGAAACTTGCAGAAGTAAGATGAAAGGAGGATAACAAGCTGAAAATAGCAGAAAGGAGTTAGAAGAAGCACAAAAATGTTGTAGTTAGCAGAAAGAATCTAAAAGGAGCACAAAACAGCTGAAAGTAGCTGAAAGAAAGTTTAAATTTGCACAAGGAAGCTGAAAGAAGCTGAAGCAGAACAAAATGTGAACGGAGCAGTAAAAGGTTGTAAACAGATCTAAAGATTTGAAGGATGTAAAATGAGCTCAGTTCATTTTCTATTTGAAAAAATAAATGACAGAAAAGGCTAAATATTTCAAAAAGCTAAAGCTGCACCAAAACCAAAAGTCATAGCAGGATTGTCCTGAAAGAGCTGAACGTTTTGATTTATGATTTGTTGAAAAAGAACAAAAATTGTGGAAACTAAGAGAATCGTGATGAAAAACATACAGAAGAAAAATGGACCACGATAGTGTGAACGCTTCATGAACATCACACAAAAGCATTAATAACATAATAACAATAACTGTTTTGTATTTATTTTATTTTTACCCTTTATTTATACAGGTAGTCTCATTGAGCCACGAGAACTCATTTTCAAGAGAGACCTGTTTAGGGAGCAGATGGGGGTTAAGGGCCTTGCTTATGGGCCCAGAGTGGGGTGAATGAGGGTGGGGGCAGGTGTGGGTGCTTCACCTACCCCACCCACATTTTTGATGTTGCTGGTACCGGGGCTTGAACCGGCGATCTTCCGATCACAGGCCCACCTTCTTTAACCTCTGTGCCATCACTCCCAAAAAGTTTTAAAAGTATCAGATTGAGGACAAGCGAATGTATATTTTGTTATTTTACTTTCTTCAAGACAAAATGTAACAAGCATCTCATTAGTTTTACATCTTTCATCATCTGTTATTAAAGTGCTCGTTACTTTAGCTTCGAGGGTGTTTTACCGATATGGTCGTGTGGCGTTTGTAACCTCCTTTTCCTGTTTTCCCAGTTTCAGACCATCAGAAGTATAGTTGTGAGTGTAGACACAAAACCTTTTGATTTGTGGCGTTGGTCTGAATTATCTGACGTCTTCACCTGTGGCTGTTAAGTTTAACCTTTGGAAAATTTGAGCTTGGTGCATATTTGGCCCGGTTGACCCTCATTTTATGATATTTCCTGCCAGGGTCAAGAGAAGTGGATTTTTCAATTTAACAGAAAACGTGCAGCACATACCGGCGTCGCTCTGTTTGGCTGTTCAAACCGAGTGCTTTCCGGTTTGTTTCTTTTATTATTATTATTATTATTTTTTTAACAAAGAAAAGATCTAGTTTAAATTTAAAGTGTTTGAGGAAGAGTCTTGTGTTCAACAAAAGGCTTTCACAGGTTCTTAATCTTCCTTCGTTCTCAGAGAGGGGCTTATTTTATATTTGTTGCACAGACAGATAAAGGTACTTAAGCCCTTCATTTCAGATATTCTCTCTTCCCACGCAGTGTCTGAATAGGCTCTAATCACTTCGAGCCTTGTTCTTAGAGGTTTCTTCTAAGTCTTTGATTCAAAATAAAATTTAGGATTTTTATATGCTCAGTGTAACTATAATGTACTCTATTATAAAATTAAAAAAAAACATATTAGTACATTTTTGGCCAGTGATAGTGTCACACTATGGGTATAATTTGTCGTGTGTGTATATATTAATTTATTTATTTATACAGTAGTCCCTCGTTTATCGCGGGGGATCCGTATCCTGAAGACCCACGATAAGTGAAAAACCGCGAAGTATGAATAGTAGTACAAGTAGTAAGTAGTAGTTTATTTTAATATTTATATATAAATATATTAAGACATTTTAAACCCACACTCTTGCAATATTCTAAACAATGTTTCTAAACTCTAAAAGCTCTAAAAGAGCACAGAATGTCATGATTTCAGCTCCCTGCCTCCTCTGCTCTTTGCCACCTGCAAGCGCTCTTGGCCATGGGCTGCACAAAACTGCAACAGGTGCTAAATAATTTAAAGTAATTTATTTTAAATAAAAATTTCATGCCGCTCGTGCAGCTCATCCATCAATCAGCAAATTGTGTTTCATGTCCAATCTTATTTTGAAAAACCTCGATAGAGTGAGTCCTGTATATAACGGTAGTCCCTCACTACTTCGCGGTTTTTCAAAATAAGATTGAACATGACACACAATTGGCTGATTGATGGACGAGCCGAACGATAGGCACGAAATTTTTATTCAAAATAAAAAATAATAATAATTTAGTTCCTGCTGCATCTGTGTGCAGCCCACAACTGCAGGAGAAGCTTCCGCCTGCAGCGTGTCAGACCTCTGCTCTGCAGTGGAGAAGTGGGCGTGGCCAAGAAGCAGGTGTCAAAGAGCAGAGGAGGCAGGGAGCTGAAATCATGACATTCTGTGCGCTTTTAGAGCGTTTAGAGTTTAGAAACATTGTTTAGAATATTGCAAGATTGTGGGAAGGGTTTAAAATGCCTTAATATAGATATATATTGTATATATAAATACTAAAATAAACAACTATTTACTTTACTACATGAACTTTGTTGTTACTTGTACTATTCCTACTTCGCAGTTTTTCACTTATCACGGGTCTTCAAAGTACGGATCCCCCGCGATAAACGATGGACCATTGTATGTATGTATGTATACATACACTTATCGTCTTCCTTCACTGTCTGCACCTCCCTACCTCCCTTACTGAGCCACCACCTGCATATTTGCTTATCTGCTGCAGTCAGAGGTCACATGTTGTACACTTAAAACGACACGCTTCACTCTGAATCTAACACGACTGCAGCTGCTGCCAGCGCCTGCTCCTCTCCCCCAGAGAATTTCAATTTATTGCATTTAGGATAATTAAATCGGGACAAACTGTGGAGACGCAAATTCAATTGATCAGAAAGATTTCCATAACTGCTGTAATCAATAGCTAATCTACCATCCCTAATGAGAATGAATGGATGCTTTTTATTGAATATGGCTGTCAACCCTCTCCTCTGCAACAAGAATAAATTGGCTGTGTTACTAACAGATAAGTAAAAGCAATTATAAAAAGCTCGTGGAGGGAACGCAGAGATATTCTGCTCCGGTGCTAAAGCAAGAATGTGTGAGCTCTTTCTCCCAATAAAAGTTCACACAAATTTAATTTCACTTTTTTTTTCCCTCACCCCCTGAAGGCAGCATGAGGTCTATAGGAACCAAATTCCAAATGAGATTTTGAACTCCAACACTGAATGTGAATAAATGTAATCATCCCGACTGTCTTTGAAGCCAACATTCAAGGTAACAAGGTGACTCTTCTTCTGTGGTGCTGCAGTGTCTGCGGACGTTGGTGGGCCACACGGGGGGCGTGTGGTCATCTCAGATGCGAGACAACATCATCATCAGCGGCTCCACAGATCGCACACTCAAGGTCTGGAATGCAGAGACAGGAGAATGTATCCACACCCTCTACGGGCATACCTCAACAGTGCGCTGCATGCACCTACATGAGAAAAGGTATGAAGTTGTGTTGCTGAGTGTCGCTAAGCCTAAAATCAACATTTGGTCATTGTTTTCAGTCTTATGTAACAAAGATTGATGAAAATGCCATATAATAAAAGAACAAAAAAAAAAGTTTACCGTATTTTTCGGACTATAAGGCGCATTAAGTGAAACCAGTTCATTTTGACAGATTTTTGAGCGCCATGTACCACATAAAATCAGTTCGAGGTCAGTAAGCACAATCAGAATTAACACATGAGGCGCACCGGATTATAAGGCTCACTGTTGATTTTTGAGAAAATTAAAGGATTTTAAGTTCTCCTTATAGTCTGAAAAATACGGTAGATTTCAAGCCCAGTTTATATCAGTGAGTTGTTTTTTTTTGTTTGTTTTTTTTGTATGATTTAAAAAAATGTTTAATTTAGACAAACTAGCTTCTTGGACTAAAGTGATCTTAAAAAAATGGTGATAGTAATGAGGAAAAAGTTGGATACAACTTTTTAGTATTTAATCCTCCTGCTGGCCTTTGAGTCAAAACGACCCAGGAGGCCTCCATGTTGAGACTGAGGTCTCCTGGGTCATTTTGTCTAAAGGCAGCAGGAGAGTTAACAAATCTTTTTATCTTGGATAAATGCCTATAAATCAACAACTGCAACCGATAGCCACTTAGCTTAGCACAAACCCTTAAAGTAAATCAATGGAATGGATTAGATCTGTGTAAAAGTTGCATTTTTGGACCTCTAAAACATGTCACTTACTGCACAATTTGTATTTTTCGTGCAAATACAAGTAGCAACTTAGTCACAAAAAGAGTCATGTTGAGTTATTTTGTTTTTGTGCCGTGTGATTAAAAGCATACATCCTAATCAGGCAAAAAGAGCACCAACAGCTGTAAGAGGATTGCATCTATAGAAGCCAGCATATGGTTTCATAGTGATTAAATAGACCCTGCGAGCAGCCCCAAGTGAACCGCAGCTCGCTCATTCACTCAGTATCACACTCTGGAGACTCAAAAGTGCTCTTTTTGCCTTGGGGCCAACCAAGGTTTTTGTGTAGCATTTGATTACTCACTCTGTGGAAGGGCTGCAAGCTGCAGACGGTGAATAACATGTCAGTGATTTCCATCTATGAAGCGCTGTGAGGCATTTGCAAGGGGAAAAAAAAAAGAATATTATCTCTGTGTGACTGCAAGAATTTTTATTTATTTTTGTTTAAGTGGTCTGTGGAAAAGGTCTTACTACAGAAATCTTGCAGTGGAAGACTGCACTGAGTCTACTGGAAAGCAGATAAAGCAGTGTCAGATTTAATACTTTTCCCCCTGACCCCTAATAACAGGAAAGCATGTCAAACTTGAGTAAGCGTCACTTTTAAAGGGAGTGTTCTCTTCTGAAACTTTTAATAATGAGCCCATCTTTCGTGGAGACATGTCCCTCGGCAGCAGTTTTAGTTAAACGGTAGTTTCTGTACATTCAAGTGTGAACACGTAAGATATGTTGTTTACAGCAGACGTTTCTGTCAGCAAAGCTGTCACTATAAGAATAGGGATTTCTTTAGACCTTTGAATATAATGCTTAGGTATAAATACGTTACCTTTGCTCAAACACACCTGTTAAGTTTGCCTCTGGCTGGCTTTTCAAAAGCCCATGTTGTTCTGCAGGTGTCTGACTTACTGTTTCTGTGGCGTTTGCTCTCAGGGTGGTCAGCGGCTCTCGCGATGCTACGCTTCGTGTCTGGGACATTGAGACCGGTCAGTGTTTACACGTGCTCATGGGTCACGTGGCGGCGGTGCGCTGCGTTCAGTATGACGGGCGCCGGGTGGTCAGCGGCGCCTACGACTTCATGGTCAAAGTTTGGGATCCAGAAACAGAAACCTGCCTGCACACGCTGCAGGGCCACACGAACAGAGTGTACTCCTTACAGGTACGCAGACTTGTGTTGATTCTTGAAAACAAAAACTTTGAACTCTGCATCTCTTTTTATTATTTTTTTTCCTTTTTGCTGTTTTTTTAATTAGTTTTATCCAAATGTGTGTGTGATTGTGGTTAATTTTGGAAAAAAATAAAAAGTAAGAAAAGAGAGGGAGTGATTGAAACGTGTCCTTTAAGATGTCCTCTATCAGAACCGTGTAATGACAAAGCACTTAAGGTACAGAGGAGGCTGTTTACGGTCTTATTGATTGATTTGTGTGCGCCCCTTCTTTGTTAGGCTTTTAAAAAGTGCTGGAGTTCTCTACTGAAGCTGTTAGGACAAAAAAGATGAGCTCCCTCAATCAATAAAATTAATCGTGTGCAATGAGTTTAATCTAAAGTTTGTAAGTGGAAGTGCTGCGTCAGGAAGATGTTTTTGCAATCAACTGCAAGTTAGGGTGATGTGTGCAGCTGACATTTTACACATTAGCTTTTGAAAACTCGTCCTTTCTGTCTGTAGTTTGACGGGATTCACGTAGTGAGCGGCTCTCTGGATACATCTATAAGAGTCTGGGACGTGGAGACGGGGAACTGCATCCACACGTTAACGGGGCATCAGTCCCTCACCAGCGGCATGGAGCTCAAAGACAACATCCTTGTCTCAGGCAACGCAGACTCTACTGTCAAGATCTGGGACATCAAGACCGGCCAGTGTCTCCAAACATTGCAAGGTGAGGGCCCCCGTGACTCTAGTATGATACAAGTTAAATCAGTTGTAAAGTGTTGTATGAATTCTTGTTTGGTTAATTTCTAGACTATAAGCCGCTACTTTTTTCACACGTTTTAAAAACTGCGGCTGATTTACGTTTTTTTTTGACGGGCTATGAACTTCATGCCGCTAAAACATTCAGCCTCTTCGCACACGGGCACTCACATAGATGCCCAATACACGTCTCTCTTAGGGGGTGGGTCCTCGTGACTCACTGAGATTACCTGTATAAATAAAGTTAAAAAATAAAAACTGACCAATGAAATGACCAAACAGGTCACAGTGGACGAATGGACCAGTTCTCTCCTCCCCTTCCTCTCCCTTCAGGAGTTTCCCCCCTCGTTGTACACAACAAAGTGTTTGCAACCACTGGAAATAATTATGAATCGTAAATCAAATCACGAATTTGCCTCGAGACGAAAGTGACGTTGAGAGCGACAATGAAAGAAACTGAGGACGTGTGTGATGAAGGTTTTCTGAGGCCGTTTAATTCTGACACTGATGAAGATGAGTTTAGTGGTTTTAGTGCGCAGGAGGAAGATGAAGATGGTGTTCAATGACTTTTCCTGGTAGGCCACTGTATTTATTTATTTATTACCAGCCGTGTTACAAGCATTGTTCAGAAAAAATAAAACATTTACTGTGTGTGTTTGTGTATGTTACCAGTACATATTTAATTAAAAGTTGTACAAAATCTTTCAGTGTAAATATCTCGTTACAACGTGGACACCTTTGGCTTATACACAAGTTCGGCCTATATATGTACTTTTTTTTTTATTTAGGGGGCGCAGCTTATATTCAGGTGCGCTCAATAGTCCGGAAGTTACGATAAATTAAGGAAAACCTGAAGATTTCCTAGACGTGTATTTACGTCACACTTTTATCTTTGATAAATTAATTTGATGTACAAAGGAAATTATGAATCAAGTTTAAATTCTTCCGAAGTGTGGATAAAACTGCATCTGCTTAGTCACAGCTTGTCCTATTGACAATACCTGTAAAAAAAAAAAAAAAAAGCTCAGGGCACTCCGGTTTTATCAGACATTCAGATCATACATGGACGCAGCAGAAAAACTGTTTTTCTGCAAGTTACAGCTTGTTGGACTTATTGGCATGTTAAAGGATTACCTGTGCTCACAGTAACAAATAAAATAGCTGTCAACTAAAACTACAAGGGCTTCTTTTTGTTGCCAAACCAGAGAAGCTGCAGTCAGAGAATTGGTGGCATTTCTCTGAAAAACAACTAAATGCCCAACTTTACCTATGCAAGTCTAGACACTTTATATATGTCCCCTCTAAAGATGGACTTCATACATCTGTTGAAGTTAATCCCCGTTGTTACAACTCAGAGTTAGCTGTGGGGTTAAACTGGTTTAAATGTGTAAAGTGGAGTTCTGCAATTAGTACAAAACTGCTGTCAGTCAATTGTTCCCACAGGGCCAACTTGGTGTAAGTGCATGTCAACATGGAGCCTGTTTGACATGTCAATTAAGACATGGTAGCTTTGCAGGTTGCCTTTTTTTGTAACCAATAAGAGACAACCGTTGTGTTAAAAGGACGTCTGACTGCAGAGTCGTCTCACTGGACTATGACTGTTAAGAGATTAGTTGGTGACTCAAAATTGCGAGAAAATTGATGTTTTTCAGTTGCCCTCTAACAATTCTGAGCCGTTATTGCCCAACTCCTGCAACATTGCACCCACCTCAGTATCTGTCTCCTACAGTTATGTTTGAATCTACTGCACTACACTAATAAAATGAAGATATGTGGATTTGGAGCAGATTTTTTGTAATTATTAATATTCTTCAGCCTGGTTTTTAGACTGGAACTTTCAGGGATGTTTTCTGTCATTAGAGAGTTCCTGTGTGGGTGTGAAAATACAGCTTGCAGACTTCACTGAAGCCAAACGGATTGGGTTGAGACGAGTTTAAGACAATCACAACAACTTTGTTGGGACGATTCGTCACACAACATTTTGAGAACACTATTAAAATTTACTGTAAGTGCCAAGACTGTGAACCTCTGTGCTCCCTAATACAAGGGAATTGAGAATCTTTGCAAGTATTTTGAGACATTTTGGAGACTCCAGTGGAATATCTGTTTATCAACTGGTAGCCAAAAGTAGCAGCCCAGTAAGATTTTACCTTTGGACTCATTCTTCACAGAAAGAGGCGGCTTTATGTTGGACCCAAAGATGGCCCACTCTGTTGCTGTGGTTGTTGATGTTTTATGTAATATTAGATTAATCCTACACGCTGCAGATCATTTAGTTTGGAATCGTGCAGTTAAAAGCCAAACTAAAAGACTTGCTGGGTTGATGGTACTGAGCTGACACGTCCTGATCTGGTTCTGGTTTCTTTGTGTCTCTTTGAATAGATCTATCTTCATTACAAGCGCTTAGTGTCTCACAGGAAGTTGGAAGTCCTTTACTGAATAAAAGTGGCAGCCACTGGTGCCCCGTCTCTAAATACCCTCATTAGCAAACCACAGCCCTGTAAGCTGGTTCTTCAAACACCAACACTCAGCAGCTGAACAAAAGGATGCCCCAGCGAGAGCCCGAACAGAGTGGGAAGGACGAGGCAGGGGGGAGGATGAATGTTGGGTCTCGTTGACGACAAGGGGGTACAGCGGTAAAAAGACAGGGGAGCTTTGTAGGTCATATATTTAGGTCAGCTTACAGTTTTTGCCATTCATTACTGTTTTGATAAGACAATAGCCCCACAACAAGGCAGTCACTGTGATCTGAAGGGAGTGTAGCTAATGGTGCAGCAGGGGGGAGCCGAGGTGGGTGTGGTGCACAGAGTTATGAATCCTCTAGATAAAAACGCATAAAGAAGATAGGAACACCTTCTTTACCGTGTCCTTATGTTGGAAACCAAATGAACTGGGCACACATGTCAAGTCAAGTCAGATTTATTTATAGAGCACATTTAAAACAGAAACTGTTACCAAAGTGCTTAGCAAAAGTATCACAACATCAAATAAAAAGTAACAAGATATATTTACAGCACATGGAATAAAAATATAAAACAGAAAACAATTAGAAACAATGAAATACTAAATCAGATCAGATGACCTTGTGTTAAATAGGAATAATAACAAAAGCATAAACAGAATCAGCATCATTGAAAAACTAGATCTAAATCCGATCACCCTGTGTTAAATGTCAGTGAGTACAGATGAGTTTTTAGGAGAGTTTTAAAAGCAGAGACTGAGGTGGCCTGTCGAATGTTGATGGGCAGATTGTTCCAAAGTTTAGGGCCCACGACTGAAAATGCTCGATCTCTGAGCTTCAGCCTGGTTTTTGGTACGGCCAAAAGCAGCTGGTCTGATGATCTCAAAGCTCGAGAAGGAGCATAAGGATGAAGAAGGTCGGAGAGGTATGAGGGTGCAAGGCCGTTAATGCACTTGAATGTCAGCAGGAGAATTTTAAAATTGATTCTGACACGTACAGGAAGCCAGTGAAGAGAGGACAGAACCGGAGTAATGTGCTCAAACCTGCGAGTTCCTGTTAGTAGCCGAGCTGCAGCATTTTGTACGAGCTGGAGACGTGAAAGTGAAGCCTGACTAATCCCAACATAAAGCGAGTTACAGTAGTCCAGCCGGGTTGTAATAAATGCATGGACTAGTTTTTCAAGGTCGGATCTGGACAGAACGGACTTAAGCTTTGCTATTTGCCTTAACTGAAAGAAGCTTTTTTGCAGAACAGAGTTGATCTGTTTATTAAACTTAAAGTCCGAGTCTAACACTACCCCGAGATTGGTAACCGACTGCTTTAGATGAGGCTGAAGGGAGTGCAGGTTTACAGGATCAGTGACAGTGGTAGAGCTTGGGTTAAACACAATGACCTCAGTCTTCTGATCATTTAAACTCTAGAAGTTCGCAGCCATCCAAGTCTTGGTGTCATCAAGACATTTTAGCAAACGGTGGATGGAGCACATGGAGCAGCAGCTGCTAAATTTCTGTGAGCGACAGGTCTGTGCCACAGCATCCTACTGCGCATCACTAAACTCTGCTTACAGCTGGCGTACTGACACTTACGGCCCAGTTTTTATCAGCTGCTTTACTTTCATATCACTCCCATTCATTTTGTTCCAGTAAATACTGTTTGTTTCAAGTGTCATTACTCCAAGAACTGTTGAGGGTCAGAGCTTTCCCCTTTCATTTACCAGTAATATTTTATTTAAAGAGGTAATGACTTCAGTGGAAACATGGTAAATCACTGGCTCAATCACAGCTTTTACTTTAAAGAGTCACTTAAACTGATCACTGAAACAACAGGTCATTAAACTGATTTACTTACAGTCTGGATAGGTGACCAGCTTCAAGCAAGAATTAAAGTGAGCTTTGAATCCCTATTCATTTCTTTAAACTGTGACTAAATAAAATGGTTAGAAATACAAAAAATATAGTTATATTTAATCTATTGGTGTGAAATCTCAAACTCACTGAGAGGGAAAGAAAAAAATCCAAGATTAAAAACCCAACACAAAGGCAACCCTCAGCCAAACCGGTCAAAAGTCAAGGTCAAAGTTTCTTTATTTGTCATTTGCACCACATGTGGTACATGTGGTGGAACGAACTTGTGTACACAGGGTCCCAGTTACATCCAACAAAAGTATAAATTGTAATGAAAAACAGTAATAAGATCTAAGATATGAACTAAGAAATATGCTAAACTAAGAATACGCTAAGCACTAGTAGTACAAAAACAATAAGCTGAACAACATCAGCAGCATGAACATGAATCTGTGTGAGCAGATGACTAAGAATGAACACATCAGCTTGAAATAAATCAGCAGCATAAAATCAGCAGCACATATCAACGATCAAGTGATACTACAGTGATTTATTTTCACAGTGATAATCCTGATTAAAGATTCATGAGTCTTAACAGCTTCAGGGTAGAAGCTGTTCCTCAGTCTAGTGGTCCTACACTTAATGCTCCTCAACCTTCTGCCTGAGGGGAGTGAGGAAAAAAGTGTGTGTGCTGGGTGTGTGGGGTCCTTCATGATGCTGGTGGCTCTCTTCCTGCATCTGTATGTTTAGATGTCTGTGATGGTGGGAGGCTGACTCCAACAGACTTCTGTGCAGCCTTCACCACTCTCTGCAAAGCTTTTCTTTCTGCAGCTGTGCAGCCTCCATGCCACACGTTGATGCTGGAGCACAGGATGCTCTCCACTGCACACCACTTCAAAGATCTCAGGAAGGTTTAAAGTAAAAAATAAATAAATTGTTAATTCTTAGACTGCATCAGAATAATATATTTATTCAGTACATATAGTAGAAATAACACGTTGATCTATACTGCTTTGTATATTTCATATTTTTACATTCAAGTACACATTTCACTTGTTTCACAAATTAATAAACGGGTACACTAGGTTGGAATAAAACTTTCTCTAGATTTGTTCAGGCTAACAGGTGCTAACAATCTTGAAGCCCATATTTAAGTGATTGTTGTCCAGACAGCTTCGACTGCCTCACATATTCACCTGAGATAAGGACAAGAAACGTGGTTTAAACTGAATGTCCCCTGCCTTAAAAGTCATTAAAATTAGTAACATCATGTAAAAGTTCTTGGTTAACTTCCTCACAGTGAAACCTCAATAACAAACGCCGTTTTATTTTCTCCTCGTCTTCCTCCAGGTCCTCACAAGCACCAGAGCGCCGTGACGTGCCTCCAGTTCAACAAGAACTTTGTCATCACCAGCTCGGATGACGGCACCGTTAAGCTGTGGGACCTGAAGACGGGCGAGTTCATCCGTAACCTGGTCACCTTGGAGAGCGGCGGCAGCGGCGGTGTTGTGTGGCGCATCCGGGCCTCCAACACCAAGCTGGTGTGCGCTGTGGGCAGCCGCAACGGCACCGAGGAAACCAAGCTGCTGGTGTTGGACTTTGACGTGGACATGAAATGAGACATTGGACACGCTGAAGGAGGAAATCGCAAAGAGGATGAAGTAGAGAGGGAATGGGAGATGAGGCGCCTGGAAACCAGATGGCCGGCACCCAAAACTCTTTATTAAAATTCACAGATGTCTAACCCCCCCACAAAAAATACAATAAATATAACGGTGGGCTGTTGCTGCCCTCCATCCCTATTGCCCATCTCTCCCATGTTACTGAGATAGATCCTCACGTATGCTTTTTGACCTCACACCGATGTGCGCAGTGGAGTCCTGGGGGGTTCAGGGTGGAAATCGGGGGTGGAGGGAACAAGCGGTCCGTTCTCGATTGTTAGGGAGAAAGACGAGAAAAAGAACGTGAAAGGTTGACTCCCTCTAAAGCGACTCGCCGCGGTTTGGGTTCGGGGTCGGCTTTGCACAGAGACTTGGTTTCGCTCAAGCCTGACAGATTTTGAGATGTACAGAGATATTTTATTTTTTAAAAGTGCCCCCCCACCACCACCCAACCCTCTACAAACACACACACACCCATCAGTGTTCATCCACAGGCGCACACACACTCAAACAGCCTGCTAACCAGGGGAAAGCATTGACCGTGGGAAAAGATTAAAGATGGTAGAAGATGTAGGAAGTAGTTTTTCAGTTTCTCCCAAAGAGCTGCTTGACGTCGTGGAGAGAAAGGAAGCGTTTGGAGCGTTCAGGCTCGTTTCTCGTCACTCCGTTTCCCTTCTTATTCTCCCCCACTCGGTTTCTGTAGCTTGATTTCTCCACAGTGTCGCACACAATAATACAACTGTGAATTTCAGTACCTTAGTGGTTTATCATATGAAAGGTTTTGTTTTATTTTAGGGCTTTTGGCTTTTTTTCCATTTGTGCAAACTCCAGTATTAGAGAAACCCTGGAAACCCAATACTTTGCTACCTGTCGTTTTTAATTTCTGTTTTCATCACCTGGGTTTGGAGCTGCGTCCCTACACGGCCCTCCAGAGTCGCTTTTTCAGAGTCCAGCTGGTGGTTTCCCTTCAGCTTCTTTCCCCTCTACTGTTTTTCCTGAGTGGCCAAACTGAATTTATGCTGCTAGAGGAATCATCAACAACAACAACAACAAAAAAAAGACACAGAGAGAGATGGAGAGAGAGAGAGAGAGAGAGAGAGATGGAACTTTTTCTTGCTGTGACGTTTTAGTCCCAGGCGAAATTCCAGAATTGAACTCTTATGTTTGGACTTAAAGAAACAAAACGTGACAAATATAACAGCTGACGCATTCGGTTTTGTTTCGTTTCGTTATTTTTGCCACTGAAACTTGAGCCAAACGTGCCTCTACGAGGCTGAGAGGAGGGGAGCACGTCTGACAGATACTGACGAGGTTGCCTGCAGAAGAGGAGAAACGGGGGGGGGGGGGGGGGGTGAAGGCTGATGGGGTGCTTGTGTTTGTGTGTGTAAGTGTGTGTGTTAGCGTGTTATTGGGCAACTTGTAAACACATTCCTTGGGACAAAGCTTTTTCAGCCTGTTCTTTGGGGAAATGTACAAAATGCTGTGTGGACTGGCAACAAAAAAAAACACGACTAAGAGGAAAAGATTTAAACTAAGCAGATGTATCGATTTTAACACGTGGATGAAAGAACTGTCCGTATCTGTTTGTGTTTGTTTTTACTTTTTTTTTTTTAATTCAGAGATGTCTGAAGCAACAGAGGAGACCATCATAAGCATCAACTGACAGGTGAAGCTGCAGAGAGTCTTAGTGTTACACGTGATGCAGGTAAAATCAGACGAGCTGCAGTTTTGCAAATTGGGGGGGGGGGGGGGGATTAAAAACACAAAGGCAACTATGGTGGACAGAAACATTGTAGCCAAACAAAACGTCTCAATCTTCAAGAGTCACAACTCAAGCTGAACTGTGAAAGTGGTATAACACTGTATATTAAAAAAAGACAACAATCTCTCTCTATCTCCTCTTGTTTGCCGTTTGTTATAATTTATGATCTGGTTTGAGAAATCAGATTTGTTGCAGGTGTTTATTTTGTTCAGTTCATGTATACTGCCTGGCAAAGAAAAAAAAGAAAACGAGACAAAAAACTGAAAGGGATTGTGTATTTGTTTGATTCACTTAGAATTTTATTTTCTTATAACTTAAGTGCAATAAAATGTGGGTTTTTCTTTTTTCATTTCAAGCATATCAGTTGTCTGTTTTTGTTACCTCCTTGAAGGCATCACCTATGATTAATAAAGTTATTTGGTTTAATAAATTTAAAAGGCAATAATTTCAGCCTAAAAAGCAAGTTTATGTCTAAACATGACCCAGTTCTCCTACAGTTCATACATTCACAGTAATCAGCAGGTAGTTTACTTTAATTCTTGTTAAGAAAATTTCATTATATGACAGATGGGATGTCTGTCTTTGAAATTGAAAAACAACCGAAATGACAAGCTTTGCACATTTTTTTTGATCCAGTTTATTTAAACCTACGACGGAGTATTAGAGCCACATTACAAGAACAAAAAAATTTGCATTACATGAAAAAGTCATAAAATTACGAGAATTAAGTCGTACGACAATTAAATAATATGAGAATAAACTTGTGTATTACGAGAATAAAGTCGTACAAGAATAAAATCGAAATATTACGAGAATAAACTCATAACATTACGAGAATAAAGTCATACGACAATAAAATGATATGAGAATAAACTTGTGTATTTTGAGAATAAAGTCATAATATTACGAGAATAAAGTTGTAATGTTACGGGAATAAAGTCATACAAGAATAAGTCTAAATTTACAATAATAAACTCATAATATGAGAATAAAGTCGTAATATTACAACAATAAAGTCGTAGTATTACGAGAATAAAGTCGTACTATTACAAGAATAAAGTCGTAATATTACAACAATAAAGTCGTAATGTTACGAGAATAAAGTCTCACAACAGTAAAATAATATGAGAATAAAGTCGAAATATTACAAGAATAAACTCATAATATTACGAGAATAAAGTCACA